GAGTTTCCAAGGTAACGTTTTCCTCTCGAAAGTACAACACGCAACAGTAATAGAAAATAAATCCATTCTTTCACTAGCATTATTATTATAGTATAACCTGGAGCAATATTTTCAAAGAGATATGGCGGGTTGCTATGCCTATTTCCCCAAAGCTATGTTTCGCTAGTGTGAGCTTCCAACCGTGCACTGTTATGACGCGTCCTCATGTATTTTTTATACAGGTAGCAATATCGGAATCCCGTGTCTAAGAATGGATTATTGTAAACAGACCACACATTTGGTATTTCGGCATTATTTGTTGGTGTTACTACTTGATATGATTACTATTGCCAGTTGGAGGGTAAAACAATTCATAAATTTCATCAAAAATAATGTCTTACCTACAAAGCGTAGCTGTACAGTAGTACACGTGTACAGGGATTTGTTGACATGCTTCGATAGAAGTATGTCGCACTAAATAGTAAAGAAATTATTACTAACAAAACTGATAAATCAATAGGTATGTTATTAAAATGTAAACAAAATCTTCCATCGATTTAAAAAAAACACCATTGCCTTATTAAGGAAATTGATCACATGCCTAAATAATTTTTTTAAAAAAAGGAAGGAGGTTTCGAACCTGCACCGTTTATTTTCCCAGTCGTAAGTAAACTGCGTTACACATTCCGCTACATAGAACATATAGGTTTTGGCAATTACAAACTTATTTAACCCGAAACACAGCTGTCGCAGTTTAGAGAAACTTGATCACCCCTGTTTTTCATTATTTTGAGCACTTTCCCAAAGGAGGACCACTTTTCCTTAATACGATTTGTTTTTGCATATTACATCACGGTCACAAAAAGTTTATTCAAAAGTTGGTCCTCGGATGGGAAAGTGTTGAAAGTATTTTTTTAAGTCCGGGAAACCCCTTCACTTTCATAGATATAGTGTATATGGCTATATTTGCAGTATCATATTAGTAATATCTAATTTCTCAGCTGTTTAAAAATTAATATTCAATTGGTTTTGTATCTTTTGCATTCATTTTTTCTACACGAAATGTTTTACTCCTTAATGTTTGTTTCCCGTTTTCATAAATGACGACTTAGGGAAATACGGGCAGTTTTCCGCCATACCCATTTGTATTGTCAAATAACACCTTTTATACTACTTTGAATTTACGACAGACATCTTCAACACTAGATATTTGAAACAAAAACATTACCAGTCCTTAATCGAAAGCCTTGTCCTTTCAAATACTAAAAGGTTTTACTTTAAACGTATAGTGACAATTACAATACACTGTCCTTATTTTATCCATTACAGTCAACCGACGGTAATGTTCTGGCAAAATCGAAAGTTAAATGCCACTGGTAGTTCGGATACATTACGAGTGATTTCGCTCAAAATGAATGGTATATTGAAATGTTACAATGCTGCATAACAATTGATCATGTAAAATATATATGCAATATAACGAACAAACGGGATGAACAGATACCCAAAACACATAAACTAATCTACCATCCGTTAACGCATTTGGAATAAATACTTTGCTACACTGTATATATAAATGAGTTTGTCTGGTTATTGTCGTCATTTACCAATTATTAAAAGTGTGAAAAGGCGCTGTATTAAAATGGGTCCACGCGTTTTGAATCGCCACATTAACACATTAAGACCTTCAGTTTTTTTAAGGATCGACCAAATAAAGCAGATACGGAACAATTGATATCTGTGATAGGAGCTTAATCGGATAAACAGTATCTCACCTGTTAAAGCCACCGATAGCGGTCACTAGTTAATGTTAAGTGAAATCACATCATAAAACCAGCGATATTACTCTTTGTTCAATTAGTGAAAGTGTCGAACCCAACCAATCGTTAAGACCTGGGTGTCTGTGGTAGCGCACTAGTCGTTATCTTGTACATCGCCGTGTCAGCGTGGCAATGCCATACGACATTAGTGTGGGCTGAGTGGCAAGTTTGAATATGTTATCCCTACGTTACTGATTAAACATGATGATAGTGTTGCAATAATCTAGGAAAAAACAAGTGTCGTCTGTAAATAAAAATTGACAGACCGTTTCCATGTTTCGCCTATCACGAGGCGTAAGGAAGTGTTTCCTGTGCGACACCTTGTTACCAATGCGCTTTTAAAAATATACATAAACTAAAATCTTTAAGATGTTCTTGCAGTTACATGTATGATTGGGAGCGGCATTTTCTTATCAAGTCGTATGTATATTGAATGAACAATTCCCTATCATCCAAAAGGCACAATTTTATTTAAATTTACATCTTTTGTAATTCATTATTGGTGCATACGTATGCACCTTGTATGCTTGAATGTGTAGATATGTCATCTTTTTTTCTGTGGAAGTATCTATACATACATACATACGGCGGACCCAATACCAGACTACCTGAATATTGTATAAGCAACATACTTCATCCTGGTTTTGTGCATATGAAAAATAATGAAACAGAAATAATCCTATGTCCAGCATGAGGAATGACTATGCACTGTAGTGAAGTGAGCCGTTTCACAAATCATTTATAGAGATATGGTTCACTTTTAATTCCTCATATTATCACAAGTAGCAACACAATGTGTTGTCCTTTACTAGCGTCAGAATCATGGCCAACAGTTTCAAAAGCGGAGTAGGAAGAAAATTGTAAAAGAACAGCTAAAAACCAACGTTGGCTGTAAGGACGCCTTTGCAATTAAGTTATCTTACAGCACGGTCCTTCTTTGAAACATCAAATTATAACAGAGCATGTATCTGAGTGGTCGATATCTCGTCTCTATAACGCGTCATGTGGTAGAAGGTGGGTCCCAAACACTGTCTACGAATCCGCGCTCCTCCCCCAGGTAGGCAGTCTACATCACTACACCCTCATAGATAATGTTACAAGAAGCCTTATGTGGCGACACGACTACATACCCATCATTGAAGCTGAATTAACATTCCTGACTGAAACGTTGTGAGTTGGCATTACACCCTTCACATCAAAGTCGGTAAACAAACATCTCCAGCAGAAGAGTAAAACATCATTATCCTACTAAGCCTGGACATTTGATTCAAACCTATCAAACCTATCAAACCAAACCTACAAACCTATCAAACCTACAAACCTATCAAACCAAACCTATCAAACCTATCAATCCTACAAACCTATCAAACCTACAAACCTATCAAACCTACAAACCTATCAAACCTACAAACCTACAAACCTATCAAACCTACAAACATATCAAACCTATCAAACCCTATCAACCTTATCAAACCTATTAAACCTACAAACCTATCAAACCTACAAACCTACAAACCGATCAAACCGATCAAACCTATCAAACCTACAAACCTATCAAACCTACAAACATACAAACCTATCAAACCAAACCTATTAAACCTACAAACCTATCAAACCAAACCTATCAAACCAAATCTATCAAACCTATCAAACCTACAAACCTATCAAACCTATCAAACCTATCAAACCTACAAACCTACAAACCTCTCAAACCTATCAAACCAAACCTACAAACCTATCAAACCTATCAAACCTACAAACCTATCAAACCTACAAACTTATCAAACCTATCAAACCTATCAAACCAAATCTACAAACCTATCAAACCTACAAACTTATCAGACCAAACCTATCAAACCTATCAAGCCTACAAACCTACAAACCTATCAAACCTACAAACCTATCAAACCTATCAAACCTATCAAACCAAACCTACAAACCTATCAAACCTACAAACTTATCAGACCAAACCTATCAAACCTATCAAGCCTACAAACCTATCAAACTTCTCAAACCTATCAAACCTATCAAACCAAACCTTCAAACCTATCAAACCTACAAACCTATCAAGCCTACAAACCTATCAAACCTACAAACCTATCAAACCTATAAAACCTATCAAACCTATCAAACCAAACCTACAAACCTATCAAACCTACAAACCTATCAAACCTATCAAACCAGACCTACAAACCTATCAAACCTACAAACCTATCAAACCAAACCTATCAAACCTATCAAACCTATCAAACCAAACCTACAAACCTATCAACCCTATCAAACCAGACCTACAAACCTATCAAACCTACAAACCTATCAAACCAAACCTACAAACCTATCAAACCACCTATCAAACCTATCAAACATATGATAACAAATGAGTTTCCGTCATAAAAGTCCTTCCACCTCTTGACTTGTCCGCGACAGCCTTCAGTTAAGAATTACAATAGTCAATGTCAAGTTAATCACCTGTTTATCTTTATATTTTGATATGTATGTAAACAAGCCTTTCAATTTCCAATCACCAACTATGTCTGGTCATTCGTAGCGACGCGACAAATAGGCTCATTGCAGATATAGAATCGACAAAAATTGAGAATAATCAATTACATTTGTAAGGCGAACAATGGACACGAGTACTGTAACATTTGCTATTAATCTGTCTACCCTATAGTTTAGACAATGTGAAAGAAATACTGTGAGGTTAATCTTAAAGTTAACAATGCTAATTTAACAAAGAAGCATACAATTAGAAGCATATAACTTGAACAATAAAGTGTATCAAACGCCCCTCACTTTACAGGACCAAATCAATAATTAATTCAATGACCGATGATAATAGTTTAATGGTCATGTTCATTTGATATATCCAAACACCTCCGGTTTCTGCATATATTGTATTAATGAAAACTTATTCAGTCAAAAAAAGCACAGTCACCGGATATTACATATGTAAGTTACATCTTATATCCGATAACGCCAAACATTCCGGTGAATCGAAGATTTTTTTTGTTTTGAATTTATTAGCTATTTAAATCAATTTCAAGTAAAATGTCACGTATAATATAAGACTATTTAGTTTCGTATTTGTAACGGGATGTGTATAGAATTTGTCTTGAGATCAATATACGCCACGTGCGGAGGATATATCACTACACAGTATTAGTAATGGATGCTTTGCGAAAACGGAAATCACATGTAGTCGGTAACATCACAACGTCACAGGGTGCCTTTTCACGGAGGAGAGGTATATCCTTACGCCTTCCGGAGGCTGTATAAAACTACGGTAGTTACTGACTAGCTCTGTACGACTTATACATTAAGCTGCCATCTGTTAAACAGGCATTGAAATGAGACGTAAGACACAACAGGGACCCATCGCCAGCTAACAGGACTCTTGGAAGACATTAACTAAAGGATCTCATCGAATAAGGACTCACTTCAAAGACTTTGTGATTATTATTCAACGCTTTTTAACTTTTCAAAGGTAAGTGATTTAAATATTTTTAAGATTTTCTTGTAAAATCTTAGCAAACGTTTTTAAATAACTTTCAAAAAATACATTCTAATTGCTTAAGGAGTGTTGCAAATACCACGTATGGTTGTGTTTTAACAATTATGATAAAATACTTAAATGTTCAAAATTTAAGTTTTTCAATTAATATTCTATTTGATATACAATGTGAAAATTTGTATTTTAAATTGTTTTAATTGATAAATTTTCATTTTAAATTAATATCGATTCGCCATTCTGATACTGAACTCTTCTTCTGGTTCCAAAAATTATGGGTTAAAAAACTGACAATGCGTATAATTAAAGATAAAATGATGGTGTTACTTTTCCTAGTTTCCATAGTGTTTTTATGGAGGTTTTTTTAAGTTTGTGTCCTTGTGTGTTGAGGTTGTGGTGAATCTTTAACCATTTGTTTTATTTCTGGACTTTTTGTGACAAAAATTACTTTCGATAAAATTAATGGAACACTGACAACATCCAATAAATAACACAACAGATTCAGCTAGTGATAAGAAGATTTTTTAAAACGATGTAATCTTTTAAATTTATGTTCTCTGTGTGCTGATTTCTGTGTCAACAAGGCGGTCTTTTAACTTCCACGATAATGACTTATTATGTCCAAACGCTAACAAAACTTCAAAGCAGTAAAATCAGTTAAATATGGACATGCTCATATCATTGGCTTTGTCGGCGTTATGGCCAGCTAAATACAAAGACGATTAAAGCAATGACGTCGAGATGACAATGCTCATATCATGGAAGAAGCGAATTATTCAATACTTTTAATGAATTCTTTGGAAATTTACCAGTAATTGCAGATGTTCCATTTGTTTAATTTGAAAGCCATTACCTGCATTTTTCCTATCTCAAATAAAATGATAAACAATTCGTTAAAGTCTTAATCTTTAAATTATTGCTGCTTGCACATTGGTGAATATATCCCTTGCCTCACAAAATCAATTCATGTAAGCTGCTTTATACTCGTAATAATTACCAATAAAGAATGTTTTTTCGATTGTGTTTGTTGAAATCCGGATTTTGAGTTCTTAATAAGGTGACATATTATACGTTATCAACTCCAAAACATGAATGATTGAATACATTCCTGTCGAAACTTTTACAAGTAAATGTTATAGGATGCCTAAACAATGAAGACCCATAGCAATCTGACCTGCCTTATTGCATGCGTTTGCATAAAATTGTTGTTCAATTGTCTTCATTAATCTTGTAACCAATAAATAATCGTGTATTAATTACGTGTGAAAACTACACCAAATAGAAATAACGTTAAACAATGAAGAGAAATTTATCCTCCAGATTTCAATTAATTCCTGTATAAATTAACAAAAATCTGTGAAAGAGACTGCAACAGAAGATATCATCTTAGTTTCAATAATGTTGTTTCAGTAACCATCGGTATTCATTTCAATTATATCTCATATATATATATATATATAAAAAAAAAAAAATGTCTGTGTATGCTATTTCCTTAATTTGTTTTCCATGTTCCTATCAATTGGGTATATCAAATTTTTCCTTTCCCCATGTTACCCTATCCCATCTTCCCCTATTGGATATCAAATCTTTAAAACTACTCCGCGTATAATAAAAAGACATTACTTAACTATATTGGAGATCTCATTCATCGATGAACACTGCATCCCAAGAGGAAAATACACTATTGAAAAGTGCAAAAGGATCGAATTTCGAAACTGAGTTTTTCACTTCAACTTGTCGTGAAGAACCGAGAAATGACAAGTATGTAAAGTGAATGACGACAGTTCGGTGCTAGGAAACAATATCACTGTTGTATTAAAAATAGACATAGGTCGGTAAACCTTGTCGATCATGGTGTGTATGACATATATAGCATTAGACTTGTTACTTGAAATCGCGCTAATACAAATTGATTCTCGATTTCAATGGAAATAATTGTCTAACCTTTTAACTCGTTTGCATTTTAGTACTACACCGGTGTAAATGGTATGTGAGGTTTTCGAGTCTGGATAAAGTAAGTTGTTACTATTCAATAACTCATTATATAGCCAACCTTAGAAATGTTGAAAAAGCAAAATCGTGAAAAACTTGATATTTGTAAAAAAATAAAAAGGCTTGCATCTATCTTCATCCTAGCATTTAGGGAGCCCTATCTCGTCTTAATGGATTTATATATAGCTTTGTTGCTCACAAAAGGACATACAAAATGTATACCAGTTGGTGTGTAAGTAATATAAATCTTATTATATAACAGTTATTATATTTTTATCGCCAGGTCTATAACAGCGAAAGCTATACATAACTATATAATGCACAGAAAAGTACTGTTTACCTTTCTTTTCTTGAAGCGTACTGGTTTTATTATTATTGCACCGGGTAAATTTTTCTATTTTCTATATGTCTTTACAGTCAAAATATCGTGAGACCAGACTTCAATTTCGAAATAGATTGATAAGAATTGTATCTTTTTAATTCTTTTTTCAAAGTCTGGATGATTTTCAGTTTAAGAAGTTTACCGTATCATTACATAGCAACCAGCTTAAAGTAAGAAAAATGCTGACAGATCGAATAGTTAACCTTACAGTTTATGGTAAAAAGGCAAAAACGTCAACTTTCTGTTAACATAGATCTTTTATTTTTATGCATCTGAAATTTAACTTATTCGATTTAGATTGTTAAGCTAGTATGCGATTTTTAGTCAATATTGATAACTACAAATACGTACGTGTCTTAGCAATAAGGAAATTACTGACATCACGTTTAGCAACATTAAATTAAGACAGAGTTGTCCGTACAGTTCGATGCATTGTAGGTCGTCAGCAATAATTATTTGTCTTAACAATAAGGCGTTTGATGTATCAGCAAGAATACCTAGTTTTGCATTGAGTATGGAGCTTCATGTATTGGCATCAATGCCTAATTATCTCGTGACAACTAGACGTGTGTTTTGTGAGCATTAACAAACTGTTATTTCAGCAATAAGTTGTCTGGTATTTAAATTTTACGGCTAGATGTCTTTTAACACGGTGTATGGTGTGTCAGGACTAATAAAGAACTGAACTCGTAATAAGAGGTCTTGTGTGTCAGCATGAATAAATATTCGACATCGTCAATAATAACTGTTCGACCAATAAGGCGTCTTGTGTGTCAGCATTATAAACTAACTATACAACCAATAAGGCGTCTTGTGTGTCAGCATTATACACTAGCTATACAACCAATAAGGCGTCTTGTGTGTCAGCATTATAAACTAACTATGCAACCAAAAAGGCGTCTTGTGTGTCAGCATTATAAACTAACTATCCAACCAAAAAGGCGTCTTGTGTGTCAGCATTATAAACTAAATATACAACCAATAAGGCGTCTTGTGTGTCAGCATTATAAACTAACTATCCAACCAAAAGGGCGTCTTGTGTGTCAGCATTATACACTAACTATACAACCAATAAGGCGTCTTGTGTGTCAGCATTATAAACTAACTACATGTATACAACCAATAAGGCGTCTTGTGTGTCAGCATTATAAACTAACTATACAACCAATAAGGCGTCGTGTGTGTCAACATCATAAACTAACTATACAACCATTAAGGCGCAATATTCGACATCGTCAATAATAACTGTCCAACCAATAAGGCGTCTTGTGTGTCAGCATTATACACTAACTATACAACCAATAAGGCGCATTATTCGTCATCTTCAATAATAACTGTCCAACCAAAAAGGCGTCGCGTGTGTCAGCATTATAAACTAACTATACAACCAATAAGGCGTCGTGTGTGTCAGCATTATAAACTAACTATACAACCAATAAGGCGTCGTGTGTGTCAGCATTATAAACTACCTATACAACCAATAAGGCGTCGCGTGTGTCAGCATTATAAACTAACTATACAACCATTAAGGCGTCTTGTGTGTCAGCATTATACACTAACTAAACAACCAATAAGGCGCATTACTCGTCATCTTCAATAATAACTGTCCAACCAAAAAGGCGTCTTGTGTGTCAGCATTATAAACTAACTATACAACCAATAAGGCGTCTTGTGTGTCAGCATTATAAACCAACTATACAACCAATAAGGCGTCTTATGTGTCAGCATTATACACTAACTATACAACCAAAAAGGCGTCTTGTGTGTCAGCATTATACACTAACTATACAACCAAAAAGGCGTCGTGTGTGTCAGCATTATAAACTAATTATACAACCAATAAGGCGTCGTGTGTGTCAGCATTATAAACTAACTATACAACCAAAAAGGCGTCTTGTGTGTCAGCATTATACACTAACTATACAACCAATAAGGCGTCGTGTGTGTTAGCATTATAAACTAACTATACAACCAAAAAGGCGTCTTGTGTGTCAGCATTATAAACTAACCACATGTATACAACCAATAAGGCGCATTATTCGTCATCGTCATTAATAACTGTCCAACCAAAAAGGCGTCGTGTGTGTCAGCATTGTAAACTAACTATACAACCAATAAGGCGTCTTGTGTGTCCGCATATAAAGTTAGATATGAAATTGACATACAAATATGACGATTGATTTGCCATGATAAATTATTCTCGTAACAAGGTACCTTTTGTACCGACTAGTTTCTTCAACTATAAAGGCGCGTTGTTTGTTAGGTAGCACTTTTGCCTGTTGTCCCAACAAAAAAGACGCTTTGTATTTAAATTCAATTTAAAATTCAATATTCTTCTTATATGTCGACAATGATCTGGCTTCTATCTTTTGTAATTTTGCTGATTTGTTCAAATGAAAATGTTGACATGTAGAGTTCTCCTGTTCTAAACATCGGTGTTCTTTTATTGGTAATCAAGAGTTTTTATTGAACCGGTATCACACTTATCTGTTTCCTGATAGTGTAATTGAACGACAAGATAAGTCAGCTCTTCTGGCAAAATACGGGATTTATAAAGTCAACATGTGACCAATGGTATAACAAGATTCCCAATAGAGGACGT